TTCGGGCCGTGATTAAGCGCTAATTTCATTATTAATTTGAATATAATTTATCTCGTTAGCGTTACAGCTGGCTTGCGGTGCAAATGGAAGTGTTCACCAGATTTATATGGATTCGAAAGATCACGTCAAATCTTCGTTGGGACTAGTGAATGGAGTTTTGTTTTTTTTTTTTGAACCGCTCAAATTTCATTCCGAACGAGAAGTGCTTGTTCAATGTCTTGAAGCGTGAAGAAGCTGCGGTAACTTGGCAGCTTTCCGAGGCAGTAAGTTTATGAGCTCTACACCTACTTATCTCTCACGACGAAATGTTTCTTATTTTTCTTCGGTCCGCATTAGTAAGCGGTCCGCGTGGTATTTTTTGTGCCAATACCATACTACTGGTTGGCTGGTTTGTTGGCACCGAGTGCGTTGGCAATTTGGAAACAGGATCGCCAAGTTGCGCGCTCCTGATGATAGTTGTCAAGGTCCTTTACGTATCTCCTCCACGTTGGCACTCGAACTTCCAATTCACCGACGAATAGGTGATGAACTGGATTCATTGATTACACAAAACGGTAGTCCAACGTAAGCGCATTGCTCATCCATCATTTGACTATTTACGAGCGCCGGTTGTATGTACGCTAGAAATTAGAAAGGTTTTTTTTGTGGACGTACACGATTTCACAGCGAAAGGAAAGGAAAATTGCATTGCGCAAATGAAAATATGATATTCCGTCTTCGCACCGAGCAGTGGTGATGCTGGCGACGATGATCATCTTGGAAGACGAGTTAAAATAAGACAAAATTTGGCTAAAATAAAATAAAAGAAGAAACAAAAAAAAAACGTTCACTTTCTTTCGGTTTCATATTGCACCATAGCTGTCGATTTAATTTTTATGTCATCGAACTTAATGAGAGCAGTTACGGTGTGAACACATGGCATTACCGGAGAGCTACTTGTTGATGAAAGTGAAATGCATTCACTTTTCAACTGGAAGACGTTGGCAAGATTCGTGTTTACTCGGCTTATCTTCCCAAGGTGATAAGGGTTTCGTAGTGCAACGTGGTTAGGCCAGGATCTGGCAATGCAGACACACGTTTTTAATATTATCGTTATCTGTGCATGAAAAGTTACTGATTTTTAGATAAAACCGATAAGCTGAGGGAAACTCATTTCCAATTTCCTACCAAGAGAACAAAATTACATTCACCACGAAAAAAACTTGTTTTCTCTTACGTAATGTTGCCTGTCATCCTGCTCCTTGAAGTTGCATTATGAAAACCGGTATTTTTAGTTTTGGCATTCAATTGTTCTTTTGAAACCTGTTTAACTGCAAGTCCCAATGTCAGCCTGAAAGAAGGCACCGCGGGAATATATTTTTATTTTCTTGTTGTCCCTAGTTTACTTGGTTCTAATCGGAACTTATGCCTGCTCTCAGCGGGTTGATTTCTGAGAACTTCTATAGATGTTTATTCAGGGTTTTCTACTATAACACAATGGTTCGATGAAGAGATGTATGAAGTGCAAACAACTATTCAATATATAGCCAAATTTTTCATACTAGATATTTAAGGGATCCATAGACTTAAGGGGGTATTGAGTTGTAGAACATCAGAAAGCAAATCATAACTTCTAAATTCCTTCATATTAGCCAAGAATTTAATACAGTGACTTCTCGTTTTTGGCAACATACGATTTTTTACTGCTTTGCTTTCTATAAAAAACGCTTTATTCCAGTAGTGTTAATACTAGACCATTATTTGGGGATTAACAATGCTTGCTATTTCAAGAAAAATTGGCTAGAGTTCACTAGCACTAACACAATTGCACATCTACTGCCATATCATCAGCTTTGGGTCGAATTTGTCGGCGAAAACGAACTTTGATTTGCCGGGGACATCATTTTCAGCAAAATTTAACGTTTTCTCGATTCTTGGAGCTGACCATGCCAAATTTTCGACGATTTGTGCAAAATACATTTTCATGTTTCGGTTTTACATCTACCATATATTTTTTTTAATCAACACGAATCGAGATGAAACTTTCTGCATTGCAAGAGGAGCTCTTTCAAGACAAACTGCCCTTAACGTTTCGAGAAATACACTGAAAATGAAGTCAACATTTTTTTCAAATGATGATGATGGGCCCACCTCTTACCCCTACACTTGAGCTGAACGATTTAACTTAAAGATAATTAAGTTTAACATTCATCAGATTAGCAAACAAAAACGAACTTGTTAGTTTCACAGCCTTTGGAAAGGTTACTTCATTTACTTTTCATTAATCTGTTGGTAAAGCTGCCTGGTTTTATCGCCGCACTGTGAAATCCGGATAACAGTCATACCTCGATATAAAGTAACATTGTTTTTCATTTCGCTACGTTATATCGAATCGATACAACAATTACCTATGAAAAAAAAATAAAAGTGTGCATGGCTAAAGTGTCACAAACTCTGATTTTGTTCACATAGTATTGTCATTAAACTTGTCGGCGTAAATTTGACTCAATTAACAAATGAATTTTGAGTCAATTACAACGTAAAACAATACAATCTATAAAAGTTTTCCTGAGACATTCGCTAATTTTTCTCTCGGAAATTTTCAAAACCTACGTTATAACGAACCAAAATTGGGCGCCTATCAAAAGGAGGAATCACAATCTTACAAAGCAGACCACCAAAACCATTCTTCATAAGGCAGAACAGAACATTAGCCATTAACAAGGTGGCAAATGCTCATTTCACATAAAAACACATAATAAAATCGGTCAACTTAGCTTTCTGAGAGTTACCATCAACGATTTAATGATCGCTGAGTAAATGAGTGAAAAATGAAAATCACTCATTGCGACTCTGAGGACGTGAAATTGACAGGTTTTACGTGTCAAACACATGCTTTGCAAACTGTTATTGAATCTTACAAACAAACATATTAATGCATCCAATGATTTCATAATTCCGATAAACATTTTTTTATGCGAAATGCGTATTTCAAACCTTGGGCATACAGGCGGAATGAAACGAAACGCTTTTTATATTTTGGACATGAAATTTTATAAAGATTTTGTATCTTCGAAAAGAAAATCAAAATTACACACCCAAATCGCATCATGCTGTATCTTAAAAATAAAATAAAATAAATATGATCCCAAAACATAGTGTGCAAATTCCTTGTTTAAAGATTCTGGGACTTGAATTAGTTTTAAGACCTTTTACGTTTGTTTTTCGAGACATGGCATGACATGAGCAATTGTTTCAGGGTATATCGCAGCAATGATTTTTGACATCTTGGATGAACTATTTATCAACATTAAGCTGCCTTCCTTTTTGCTGCTATTTCTTTTCTTAAACAACAAAGATTTCGTATGATGTAAACTATATTTACATTCATGTTTTTGATATTCTTAAACATAAATTTACAATCAACTTCTATATGCAAAGACTGTAGGCAGATTTACATAAGACTAATTTTATGCGAAATTTACAGGTATTATGGATCAAACACATACTTTACGACCTCTTTTTGTAAATTACAAGCACAAACAATCCCTTGATTTCTCTAACTTCTGACCTGTTGAGAACAGTTCGTATGCTTTAACTTCCTAAGAACTAAAAAGAAGAATCAGCTTGCAAATTCGTAATATATTTTTGGATATTCAACCCAAAAGCATCAAATTTTCAAAGTTGTGAATAAGCAGAATCATTGAATTGGTGCTGCTTCTTCTGATTTATTGTTCAGTATGATGTGAGGTTGAAGATTTGTTTTCCGTGCTGAGCACCAATGCTACTGACGCCATGGAAGCAGCTTCCACATCTGGACCCTACCTATCGCGCATCATTGAAATCTTCAGAATCGTCATCAATCGTCTTTCTATCTACTCAGCGTGTGAACAGCTACCCACAGCAAAACACAATCTTTCCTGCAGCATAGATAGATTCGTCCCCCTCAGTTCAACACAAGTAAAATTACATGTTATAAAGAGGTTTTAAGCATTCTACAAGTCCAAATCATTGTCTACAGAACCCTCATAAAACCTCTCCCCAAATTTTTCATCTTAAAAAAACGTAGTATTTGTGGGCGTCTGGAATACCTGTATAAAGAGAGAGAGAGAGAAGGATTAGTAATTTTCATTTAATTCCACTACCTTAATTGCTTATCCTTGACAGATACGCGTATTTCGTCTACAATGTGCAGACTTCTTCAGTGTCTTGTACTAATACACGACTGTAGGATAAGGATAAGCAAATAAGGTAGAGTAATTAAATGGAAACTACTAATCCTTCTCTCTCTATCTCTTTATGTAGTTTTGGGAATTTATACAAACTTTTGGAGCCTTTTGAATATTTATAAAGTTACAAAAGATATTTCCCTGTCAACCTATGCCAAAACCGCATCAAGTTTAAATTTTTTAACTGCGAAATATCTAAAACCAAAATAGGGAATCAAGTGTAACCACTTTATTCCCTATTGACTTTATATCTGGATCGCAGCAATGATTTCGTTCTAGTTCAATTTTATTCATTATTATAAATTTTAGCCTGGAATGAATGAGGATTATACAAAATGCAGCTTGAAAAATGTTCATCGAATACAGCCATTTTAAAAAGCAAGTTCAGAAAGGTTGGGTAGGCCACTCTAGGTGATACATTGTTCCAAGAAAATTTAAAGAACAGCAGATTTTTATCGATGGACACAATCTTTAGATCCATAGTCCAAAATTAGAGTCATTCCCTTTGTATAATTTAATCAGTGTTGCAAATATTTCCAAACCTATGCAATGTGCTCATTTAAATTGGTGGTCATATTCACTATGAACAATACAGTAGCAACGTATTCGTGAAATATTTTACTCAAATGTATCGTACTTCTATGCTAGAGCTTATCACGTTTCTACTGAAGCAAGGCATTATCGCATTACTGTGTTGAGAACTTCCTATACCTACCAAAGCATCGTGCAGGCATCCAAGTTACACGATGTTATATGTATATCATTTAATCAATTTTCATTCTTCTATTTCAGTGGAATCCCTGATCTACTGGCGCGATATAAAGAAATCCGGCGTCGTGTTCGGTGCTGGCCTGACCATCCTGATTGCCATGTCGCTGTTCTCGTTGATCAGTGTATTTTCCTATGTGTCTCTGTTGGCCCTGTTCGGTACCGTCTCGTTCCGGATCTACAAGAACGTACTGCAGGCAGTGCAAAAGACCTCCGAGGGACATCCTTTCAAGTATGAGAATGATTCATAATGTTTTGAAGCGAAATCAATCAATGCTCTCATTTGTTTTTTCTTTAGAGAATACCTAGATACTGATTTGGCATTATCCCAGGAAAAGGTACAACAGCTGAGCACAGTGGCCGTGGCACATGTTAATGCCCTGCTGACGGAACTGCGCCGTTTGTTCCTGGTGGAAGATTTGGTTGATTCCATTAAATTTGGTGTTGTCCTGTACTGTTTAACATATGTTGGTGCCATCTTCAATGGAATGACGTGCGTCATCATTGGTAAGGCAATCGTAGCAGTAAACACGAAAATGAACAGTTTCACTGACATATTTTCTACTTTCCAGCATTCGTCGCACTGTTCACCTTGCCAAAGGTCTACGAAAACAACAAGCAGTCCATTGACGCTTACTTGGAACTGGTCAGAAGCAAAATTCTGGAGGTTTCCGATAAGTAAGTTGCCTAAATGTCTCAACCTGTAGTTCTCAATCTAACAAATGTTTCTACCTTTCAGGATAAAGGCAGCCGTTCCCATTGGAAAGAAGGCCGAGTCCGAGAAAGATAAATAAGATGGTGTAGTTTATACTCGTAAAAGAATCACTTTTTATTTTTTTATTTATTGAACTATTAACAAAAAATGGAGAAAGAATGAAAACTAAACTAAACGAAAAATTCGAACGTTTTATTCCCACGCAAATTTATTGTTTAAAATGTATTCGTTTTAACGCCAAGTACTACTGATATGAACCATGAAATCTAAATACTGAACGATTTAAAGTTAAGCAGATTACCAAGATTGCGATAAGAAGAATAAACAAATAAAAAATTAAGATTAACTTTCCTTTGCCTTTATTTTGTCCTCGTGATTATTCAATGGATCAAAACAAAAACTCTCACACACTCATAGCAAAAGATATGCGTAGTAGTAATAGCTGTAATAATCCAAACAAAGCTCTTTAAATAGAAGGAAGTCGAAAACAAAACTGAGATTGACACTCAATAAACAAGTTTAAAACAACTCAAATCCTTTTCGAAGTATCATTTTTTTCTGGAAATAGTAGCAAAAGTAAACTCACTCATTCGGAACACTCACCTGAAGTTCACTCATCAATCGAAGTCAACACCACAAACTCGGTTTAAATGTTTATCAAAACAGTCTAAGTATTACCAGTACAGAAAGAAGCAGATATCGTCAAGATTGATTTTTTTAAATCTCATAACCATCGTTAAGGTTTTCCATTGACAGTCCCTGTTTCCGTTATCCATTTTGTTTTCTTTTGTGAGGTTGTGATCATTATTTCGTTCGCGTGATATATTTCTTCAACGAATCCAGTTTAGAATTCAAGCAGGAGAAGGAAATTCTAGCCCGCATTTTACGCCTACCATGTTTTTGGTTGTTCCAATTTGAATTCGGTATTTTAGATTCACGCTTTTAATCGGGATTGTGAAATTGTTTGTGCAAGAGACATAATTCGCTTAAATCGGTGTAAAGTGATTGAAACCAGCAAGAAAAGTCGCTATATTCATATTTGTAATTGTAATTCGTAAGATTAAGAGCTTGTTTGAAGTGGAGCGAAGCAAAGCAAAGCAAAGCAAGAAACCTAAATGCAACAAAACACGCGTCGTCGAATCTCTAAGCTAATTCTGTTGAAATAAAAGAAATCCTGTGCATTATTTAAGCAAAATATAAAAAAAGTAAATATCGAATCTTTTTCGTTACTCGTTATCGTAAGAGTTTGTTTTAGCCTAAATAAACAGAAACCATTTTTCGATTCACCTTTTTCTAGAAGTAAATTGGAGAAGCAAAGCAAATCGTAGCATGTACATGAATATACTTCATAACAAGCACATACACGAAGAAAAAAAAACAAAATGCTTAAAAACTTTATTATTATAATTCATTATTGAAGCGAAGGTAAGAGGAAAACAACAAAACAAAACAACTATATAAGAAAATTGTCATCAATGCAAAAGAATGAAGTAATAAAGTGGAAAATGAGAAACTGAACAACAGAGACAAAATCAGTTAAATGAACCTATAACTTTGCGAAGTATAAATGTTTTGCCCATACATAGATAGTAAATAAAACAGCTAAGCATTTTTCTGATGAAAGTTTTTCATCGGCGAACTCTTTCATTGTTTGGTTTGCTTGGATTGATATCGTCGCGAATTTGAAAGATGGTTCGTTTGCTACGTTCGAACCTGTTCGAACGATCATTTGATGGTAAGTATGGAAGCGGTTGAATGCAATACTGTTTGGGAAATACTGAGGGTTTACTTCAAAAGTTGTGTTTGTTAATAAGATGGTTTTCGTTGAAAATTGTTCTACACTAGAAAAAAAAAAATGGATTTTGAACGTAGCGTTAAATCTACATCGAGTGATTTTGAGCTGCACTAAGCATAAGCAATGCAAGTGTTAGAAAGATTGCTTGCAAGTTATATACATTCCCGCCCCATGTATGTGTGTTGAATGGGTGCGATATCCTACGCAGGTGTGGAAGCTGCCTTCCTGCACATTCGATTACCGTCAATGGATGGCAATCGATGTCCGTCGGTGATTGGCACTAGATTGCGGAACAGAGACCGACGTTAAATAAAGGAAAGAAAAAAAAGTTATATACAAGTAAGTATATTGAAATATTAAACATTGATACGATATTTGATGTAAGGTTAGAGGGATTCATTATGAATAGTCGGCTAATTTTTTAAATTGCCCATTAATTGGTTCGCATAGAAAACTCCCAATTATCATAACTTTGGAAGTGCTTCAAAGAACACTACGTTGAGAGCAGAGCGTGAAAACCAGGAAAAAGAAGAAGCTGTTGGTGCAGAGAATTATCGATTGTGAAAGTAGCTTTGAAACTCCCGGCTATAGGGGAAACGCTCCTATAGTTGCGGTACGTTAGAAGCGTTAGGTTCCTATAGTTGTGCATGGAGACTCAATACACAACTATAGGAATCTAACGCTTCTAACGTACCGCAACTATAGGAGCGTTTACCCTATTCCCTAATAAAAATAACCATAAAAGAGAGCTTAACGACGTGTTCGGGGTATCATCCAAACCATTTGTGGGATAGTTAACCCATCCGGGATACAGTTCGTTTATGGTATTTGTTTATTAGGTTTGTTAACGCAGTAATAACATAGAGGTAACTCTAAGACCAGAAGATCTCGAAGAAACGTGCTCTACTTATTGGCTCAGGTACTCTCTTTGGTCCCAAGCTAATCGATGCACCCCAGGAAAATCCACGAACCCCTCATTTTATCTGTCAAACTTTCATAGCGAATCAAAACAAACATAGTGTAGTACTAGAATTTCAACTATAATGTGGTACGTTAATCGATTTGCTTGGGACCAATAGGCTAGTCAAGTAGTGAGCAAATTTTAAATCGTTAGCTTCCACCGGTTTGCAATAACAAAAGTTTGGAGGTAGATTTAATCCCATCATCGAATAATCATGTGATTTTTAAGCTGAAGAAGTTTTCATTCAGAATATACTGTTGCAATGATTTTGGAGGATGGGCTTAGAAAAATGTCCATTCTTAATTTATTAAAATCATCAAGATCTGCGACTCAATATAAAGTCTCACTCACGCCGTAGATCGAACCACGATTACTTTTTCAAAGGAACGTATCTGCTTTTGTAAATAATGCATTTCATCCTCGGTTTGGCGTAACTGGTAGCTCGCCTACGCATATTAACACCACTATCCGCAAGCAGGATGTTATGTATTCAAATTGTTTCTTAAGAGTTTATCGGTACCCGTATTATAATTGGTAATGCTCCCGTAAAGGATGAATAGGATTGGAGGGTTTAAATCCCTCCGTTTGCCGTAGATTTTTAAGCAAATTTTCTCGTACACATGTGTCCTTCCGATCATGTGTGCTTTTCGCTTCTCAGTATCTTCCAAATATTTCCAAAAAAATAAGTTTCTTAAGAGTATTTTTTGCGTGAAAAAATAATGAAAGTGAATCAATCCACCAAAGGTGATATTTGACTCTTCTTAACACTTGACCAGCCAAAAACCCAACATTTTACATCAAATCGCACAATGATGATAAATCAAGTCGATTGCTAGTCATAATTAGTTGCAAGGATCACAAAGGTCTACCCTGAGCTTGTCCCGAAAGGTCCGAGGGATATGGCTATGGTTTAAGTCTCCGCATCTCCAGTTGATCAAGTCCTCTCATTGAGTGATATTTTGTCCGTTGAATTCTATAAACATAAATAATCAATTTATTTATCCAAATGCCAGTAATAACATAGAGGTAGCTCTAAGACCAGAAGGTCCCGAAGAAACGTGCTCAACTTTTTGGATCAGCTCTGGTACTATCTTTGGTCCAAGGCTAATCGATACACCCCTCGAAACATAGGAAAATCCACGAACCCCTCATTTCATCTGTCAAATTTTCATAGCGAATCAAAACAAACATTGTGTAGTACTAGAATTTCGACTAGAATGGGGTACGTTAATCAATTTGCTTGGGACCAACAGGCTAGTCAAGTAGTGAGCCAATTTAAAATCGTTAGTTTCCACCGGTTTAACCTGTTGGAAGGGTCGATATTAACTATACGTACTAAAAACCAGAAAGCATTTCTGGCATTAACAGTCGAAAAAACAAAATATTTTACGCGCCTTAAAAACTCTTCAACTTGGTAAAACAATGAATAGTCATTATTCATACGTAAACTAAGTTGAATCTGTCAACCACACATTTAAGATATTTTCTTATTGGAATATTGGATAGTAATTGCTGAATACAATAAATGTTCTACGCATCATCGTGGAAATAACCTGCGTGGACATGGGCCCTTATTACGAGTGTCACTTCACGGTGAAAACGAAGCGAAGTGACCAGTTGTCACTCACGGTGAAGTGATTGCCGTGTAAATCAAATAGTCAAGTATCCGAACCCTCCCCTATATTCTGTCTTTTTGCCTGCCACATCAAAGAGTCTCCGTACCTCGAGTGAAGTCCCCTCATTGAGTGATATTTTTTTAATTCTATAAATAATAAATAATCAATTTACTTATCCAAATGGCAGTGATAACCTGTTGGAAGGGTCGATATTAACTATACGTACAAAAAACAGAAAGCATTTCTGGAATCAACAGTCGAAACATACAATTTTCCACGCGCCTCTTTAGCCTTGAATAGCCATTATTCATACGTAAGCTAAGCTGAATCTGTCAACACATTTAATATATTTTATGATTAGAATATTGAATAGTCATTGCAGAATACATAAAACGTTTAAGTATCAAGTATTCACAACCTCCCCTAAATTTAGTCTTTTTGTCTGTCACATCAAAGAGTCGTTACCGTGACACACTTCAATGACCATAACAGTTAAAGAAAATTATTTTTTAATGAAGTTTAAACCATTCTGAAATAAGGGAAAAGCGGACCAAGTATCCCAGAATCTACTGAGACTTTACGTCGGCTCTCAACTTAGTGTTCACTTGTTAATTGAGAGCTTTCTAAGCCTATACAATTTTTGCATTAGTATTATTGTGTGGCAAGTATAATCATACTCTATGCCCGGGGAAGTCGACACATTTGCTATCCTTAAAAAAGTAAAAGGGTCTGTGCCTAGGGGCACGAACGGAAGCTTGACGTAGGACCGCTAGTGAACGGAATAAATGTGAAGAGCATTTAGTTCTTTTAATTGATCAATTATCTATTACCTCAACTCTTTCCGTTTTTGAATTGCAGGCGTACCAAATCTTTAGTATTTTTTTTTAAAGAGAAAGTTGATTAAGAGAATCAATCAAAATCACTTGCACCCCTGTTTCCAAGTTTGGTAACAAGATTACAACTCTGGTGAGCATTTTGTGTGGTCGTTGGGGACTTGTGGTTCTGAATATGGACAAACAAGCACAAATTCTATTCCAACTCTTTACTGATGTAAGCTTGATGGCCCTGAAAAGGGCCGTTTTATTGAAAAGGACATCCATGGCCACTTACGCTTGGCGTGTTTAGTGTAGGTGACAGCACCACGGACCTTATTTTCCAGGAATACCTTCAGCATACCTCGTAGATCAGACCGGAGATACGTTTGACACCACCACGGCGAGCCAGACGACCGATGGCGGTTATCTCGAAGAACTTTGCGAAGACGCTTGGCGCCTCGTGATTTTAACCAGATGTAAAGGAAAGTTGAAGTTACAAAGCTTGTACACAAGTCCGTCATGCCAAACATTGTCAAACGCCTTTTCAACGTCTAACAAGGCCATGGCTGTGGACTTGGATACAGTTTTGTTACTTCGGATGTTATTCATCACCCGTACTAGCTGATGATTGGTAGAGTGCCCCTTTCTGAATCCAAACTGTTCCGGAAGGAGAATGTGGCTTTCCTCCACAAACTTGAGCAAACGATTGAGAATGAGTTTCTCGAACAATTTGCTCAGCGCTGTAAGGAGGCTGATTGGTCTGTAGCTTGAAGACAATGTTGGATCCTTACCGCGTTTGCGGATTGGTATGATTTTTGCTATTTTCCAGATGCTTGGAAAGCAGTGCAGTTCCAAACATCTGTTGAAGATAGCGGTTAGAAGAGACTGCACTTTCATGCTGAGTCTCTTCAAGATCAAGTTAAATATACCGTCAAACCCGGGAGCCTTCATGTTCTTGGTGCATTTCAGCGCTGAGCAAATTTGTTGTACTGTAATCATATCCGCCGGAGGCACGACACAAGGTGAGACATCTAGGTTTTGAACGCATTGCGCAACCTGATCATCGAGCGGACTTTGGATAGTCGAGCCAAGCAAATGCGATGAAGCGACATGCTTGCCGATCGCATTTTCTTTCTCCTGTGGGGTAATTAAAAGCCGATCGTCATCATTTTCGACTTTGAGAGGTGGAACGGGTTTGGGATGATTTTTCAGGACCTTGGCTACCTTCCAGAATGGTCTGGAGCGGTCGTCCAGATTCTGGACAACACGCCCGAAACTTTCATTTCGGAGTGAGTCCATTCTGGAAGCAATCTGCCTGTTCAGATCGGCCGCTTCACGTTTTTTGCCCAGATCTCCAGTCCTCTGAAACTGGCGTCTACGAACATTTCTCAACCGAATAAGAAGTTGGGTGTGGGAATCAATAGCAACAAACTTACCCCTCACAGGAACTTGTCGAACAC